TTGGCATGAAGCATTTCACCCATTTCAATGACCACATTGTTCTACAGGAGATTAAAAGTCCAGTCTGCAAAAACCAAAGAGCAGAAGGCGTGAAAGAGTGTTTCTCTGCTAATCAGTGCTAATTATTTATTACGAGCCTCTGAGTACAGTGAAGGCAGAATTACTGGGTGTGCATTTGGCTAAGGGAAGCCACTGTCAAAGCTGCTGAACTCCTCCCGCTCTGGGTTGGTGGCCATTTATTAAATGTGTCACCTTTATTAAACTTTAAGCCTTTGCCACCAAATAAGAATAGCATTGCTCCTACATGCCTTTAGCAGCGAATCATACACAACGTGTTTCCAGGGTAATCCTGGGTTTTACTAAGGAGAGCGATATTTCGGAGGACATGGCACCATAGGAGGTAGAGGGAGCGTTAGGTATAGGTGGCATCTGCTGTGCACCCTCACTGACAGATAAGGAACAACTCCAAGATGTTAACAGCTAGATAATGGCAAGATTAGCATTAAACATTACTTTTCCTGACTCGAAGTTCAGTGCTACCTCAACCATATCAGTTAAAAGTTGTCGGTTCATTTCATCTTGGTCAAGAGTCCAGGCAGCTGACTGAACACAGCTGATGTGTTTGGTTTAGTTCTGTTTTACAAGACTTTCTGAGCCAGGGATGACCCTCCCTAAGTCCTAAGTATATGCAAGACAAAGTCAACAGGTGCTGTTTCTGGTGGCTCTCCCCAGAAGCTCACCTGTGCAGCCTGCGGCTGTGAGCTGTGTGTGGGGTATACATGGGTCTACACTAGATTCACTCCTTTACTCATTCACAAACTTTATTAAACACCAGAAACTGGCCTAGATTCTACAGGTAGAGCAGTGAATAGAATAACTTACACACAAGAAGAGGGGCAGAAAGTAAAGTCCAAAAAGATCTTTTTGAGCCAGAGTCTCGCTCTGTCACCCAGGCTGGAGTGCAGGGGCGTGATCTCAGCTCCCTGCAACCTCTGCATCCTGGGTTCAAGCAATTCTCCTGTCTCAACATTCCAAGTATCTGGGACTATAGGTGCATGCTCCCACGCTGGGCTAATTTTTGCATTTTTGGTAGAGACACGGTTTCACCATGTTGGCCAGGCTGGTCTTGAACAACTGACATCAAGTGATCCACCTGCCTCGGCCTCCCAAAGTGCTGGGATTACAGGCGTGAGCCATCATGCCTGGACAGTCAAAGAAGATCTTTCCAGACGATGATATGTGCCATGTACAAAGAAGGCATTAATTACTCAATATAGATAAGAAACTCACTGCAAGTCAAGTAGGGAAAGAGAACAACCCAATAAAAAAGCCAGCAAGGTGCAAATTTGCAATTTACAGAAGAGGGACATGGGGACAGAGGCTTTGTAAAGGTGCTACATGGTCACAGCTTGCCCGGAGCAGCCTTGGTCCCTGGTTGCTGTGGGAAGGGCTCAGCACCCTCTCGAACAGACCCCCCGGTGTCAGCACTCTGCATCAGGTGTGCACCCGCCAGGGTTCTAACGAGCTTGGGTTTTTCTCCTAAGCTGTTACTGATTCTTCCCCTGCCTGTCAGAATGAAATAGTAGCCTCAGGCTCAGCCTGGTGTTCCCACACTCATTAGTAACCTGAGAGCTGCCTGTTGGCACAGTCAGGTGCCCGGAGCACCTCTCAGGATGGGTCAATCCAGAAGGCTGGGTCCTGAAGCGTGCAGGTGAATGTGGGAGTGAGGGAGCCCCGAGCACCATGTGTGGGAGGAAAGCCTCGGGTTTGGCTCAGTCAAATTAAGGGCTTCATTAGCATAATGTCCCCAGCTTCCTTTCTGGACACGGCTTCTTCTGGACACGTGTGGGCCAGATAGTTCCACACCTGAGTAGATATATCCCAAAGGAAATGTCAGCCAGGTCTATCAGGACACCCTCAGGGATGCTCCCTGCAGCAGAACAGCCAGGAGGTGAGCCGGAGGCCGGCCCAGCCAGACCCCAAGTGTACAGAGAGGGCAATGGGCAGGCCCTGCCTAGGCAGAATGCTATGTGCATGGCCCTGGAGGAGAGGTCTCCATGGCAAGACAGGCCTCCAAGCCTTGGTCCTGAAGGAGAAAGAAGAACTAGAATGGAGTCTACAACATGACAGTGAAGGGCATGCCCACAAAACACAGCGGCCCATTCTGCAGTCAGGTATTCAAACAGGAAGGCACCCCGAAACACCTCAGGGGTGTGGGCGACTGGAGTCGGAAGTGGGAGTAAAAGGGAATCAGTGTGTAAAACCATGGAGGCCCTGCCGGGCGTGATAAACACTTCAACTGGATCCTCGTCCAAAGGCTAAGAGGAAAATGCGGAAGGGGGAAGAAAGACAGAGTCGGGAGGAAAGGAGGCGGGGGATCTGGGCAGCTGGACCCCGCAGGATGAGAAGGAGCCAGACCTTGGCTTCTCTGGGGACAGGTAGAGCCAGGGCTCCGAGCCCTGCTGGGTGAGCACAGTCTTTCACACTGCAGATGAACCCAGTGTGAGCCTCAACCCTCTAGTAATAAGAGGACTAGAGAAACACTGACAGAGGCCCGAGCAGGGGCAGCTGGCGCTCAGACAGATTTCCAGCAACTGCAGGGATTGCATGAGGAGGAGAAGAAGCCGTGTCCAGAAAGGAAATCCGATTCAGTGAGACCCACCGATGAGCTCAGCTTCAGCCCACGTAGAAATGACGGGAGGGAGGGGCAACCTCCATGGCGTGAACACAAGGAGACTGCACACCTGCAAGGGTACGGAGGATGGGGTCCAACACCATGACCAAAGGCCCTCTGCAGCTGCGCTTAGGGAAGGACAGGTAAGCAGGTGGACAACACAGGATGCACACGGATAAAGGAAAGCCTGAAGCCCCCGGGGAGAGACACTACAGTTGTGGCACGGCAGTAAGGCCCTGAGATTCAGGGGGTCTCACTCCCTATGACCTTGGCTGAGCTGGTGAAGTTCTTGGTGTCTCAGTTTCTCCAGGAGGTAAGCAGCGATGTTCGGGGCTACTGTGATTGTTCAGTGACATGATAAAGGGCTCAGAGCGGCAAGTGGATGCCGGGAGCTCTATCCTGGTGCTTGCTGTTGAGAAGAAGGTTGGCAAGTTCTTATTTTTCAGGTGGGGGTACCTTGGCATTGACTGAGCTCCCATGTGGATCCAAGGACTCTCGATCCTTCATCTCCAGGGAATGATGGAGGTCAAGGGCATCATGGGCATGGCAACAAATGTCTCCAGCTTGCCAGAAAGCTGGATTATAGAACCCAGAGGCCAACCGTGGCCCAGAGAGAGGTTATTAATAAGTACCTGCTGAATTTACACATAAATGGACTTTGACAGTAGGCATACCCTTCTGCAGTAATTCAGTCTTTCCTGGAATGTGCATTGTAAAATAAGATTGAAGCCAGGAAGTAAAGAGGACAGTGATCAGTGTGATTTGTAGATAATCTTTCTAGGTATAAAGCATATGGACCTTGGTTTTCCTTGTTCCTTCCCTGTTCCTGCGACTTTAGACCTGGGCCACTGGATGAATGCCTTTCGTCTTGGCCAGACTCTGGGCCCTGTGTAACCACAGCCTGCCCAGCTGCGGCTGATGGCGGCCTTGCAGAAATGAGGGCCCGGGGCACCAACGTTTCTACTGTTTCAAAGATGCTATAAACAGGGAGTTTTATGTGAAATCTCTTGATTTTAAAATATTTGTCTATATTTTGTTTTGCTTTTAGACAAATCTTGTCTGCATGACAGATCTGTCTCTGGGCCTCCAAGGTGCAATCCATGTACCATGGACTGAACGTGTCCCCCCAAAATTCCTATGTTGGAACCTAACTCCCAGTGTGATGGTGGGGCCTTTGGGAGGTAAAGCCTTCAGGAATGGGAGTGTGCCCTTATGAAAGGAGCTCCAGAGAACTCCTTTACCAGAAGGAGCCATCTACGAGCCAGAATGCAGGTCCCTGCCAGTCACAAAATCTGCAGGTGCTTTGATCTGGAACTTTCCAGCCTCCAACACTGTGAGATACAAATTTGTTTATAAGCCCCCCCAGTCTATGGTATTCTCTTAGAGTAACCTGGGCGGACTAAGCTGAGATGCCCCCAACCAAAGTGGCACAAAGCCCTCAGAACCCGCGAGGCTCACTCCCCGCTTCACTGAGGTCACTGTCACCCCTTCTCACACAGCCCTCAGAACCCGTGCGGCTCACTCCCCGCTTCACTGAGGTCACTGTCACCCCTTCTCACACAGCCATCCGAACCCAGTGCAGCTCACCCCCACTTCACTGACATTGCTTCTCACTGTCACCCCCTTCTCAGAGGCTTTCCCAGCCCACCCTCTCTCAAATCACATTTGTTCATGTGTTAAGCTGTCACCTCCCCTCACTAGAGGCTCAGTGCCAAAGGGGCAGGGACCTTGGATGCTTGTCCTCCCTCTCTCCTCAGCTCCTGGATGTGCCCAGCACACAGCAGGCTCTTGAAAAACCCTCCTTGAGTGCAGGGAAGGACAGAAAGTGGCCGCTCTACAGAGAGCTGGGTCTTTCCTAAGCTGATGGTTGAGGGCACTTGTTCACCAACATACAATGTCTGATGCTTCTTTCCCATCTATTCAATTACTCGCTTTTGCTTCCCAAGACTTTACAGAAGACTTTCCAAACGCTGTTCAGTCTGATAGAAACCTTAAAATGACTCTGGAGCTCAGAACCTGGACCCTCCTGTGCTTCCTGTGGGAGGAGGCCAAGATCTGGGCCGAAAGAGCACAGTTCAAGGTCAGGCTGCAGGTTTGTGCTGGTAACCAGAAGCCACACTGTTCTCGCCTCACAGGGGGGTCAGCAGTGGTACGCGCCTTGGAATGGTGTGGGACCTAAGTGAGTAAGAGCAAAATGCTTCTGTCCTCCTCCTTCCTGATATAAAGCCGTCAGGGCCCCCCAGCCCCCAGCTGGGGCAGGACCCACCGCTCCTCCCTCTGTACACAAGCCATGAAGGCAGCCGTCTGTCCCAAGCCTGGCACTCACCTTTGAGGACAGGTCTCTCCCCAATGTTGCGGATGCTATAGGCAGCACTGGACAGGGGCGCATCCGGGATGAGCTCTGCGAGTAGGTACCCAGAATACCAGGCACACAAGCAGGCGAAGACCAGGAGCACGACCTTGAGGGCACCTGCAGAGGGGACAACAGGCAGCTGCTGTGGGTGACTTGGTGGACCCCAGCTCCTGGCTCTCCTGACCCCGCTGTGGCCTTTCATTCCAGCCCAGTGTCAGGGGACTGCGCTATGGGCACAGGGCTCCTGGGCAGGAGGCTCCCAGGGTCAGAGGCGGTGTCAGGGCCTTTAATTAGACAGTATCAGCGAATATAAACAAGACAGGAATGCTTTCAAGGGCAGGCTGTATTTGCTGTTGGTTTGGGTCTTAAGAGCTTCCTCAAACATGAATGTCAAAACAGCTAATCAAGCGCCTTGTGAACCAGCATGCCCAACGGGGACCTGAAGAAACAAAAGCAGCTCATTCCCTTTGTGAAACACAATCCTGCAATTACACTGAAACCTTCAGTGGGTGAGGCTCTGTCTGTTTTGTTTATTTCCACATCAGCAGCAGTGGGAATGGTAGCTGACGCCCAGCAAGCATGCAGCGGATTCCTGCTGGATCAACGCCTGGCCAGGCAACACCGGGAAAAGTCCCCAAACCTGTTCTGTCATCATGGATGTGCCTGCTGGGCCATCCAGGGTCCCCAATGACAGAAGTCCCTGGAGATACCTTTCTGGTGAACTGGTAACAATATCTTACCTAAGTAGCAAGATTCTCAAGGAAAAGGTATTGGCCTTCTCTTGGGTCACAAGAGGCCTGGGAGACAGTGTTCCGTCTTTCCACAGGGAGCCCAGGGCCAAGGCTTTCAGATTTTGCTCCCTAAATATAGCATAGATGAGAACTCATGGAGCAGGTTGCTTACCCAAATAGCTACCATGCAGGGGTGACCATGGGTCCCGAACAGGATGGGTCCTGGGGGATGTGCCCAATGCACTTAAATACGTGCTAATAGGTATAGTCCTAAGAAGAAGAGAAGAAGGAAGGAAGGAAAGAGGGAGGGAGGGAGAGAGAAAGGGATAAAAGAAGGAAGGGAGTGAATGGGGAAATCCGGAAAGGAGAAAAAAGAAAAGGAAGAGAAGGGAATGGTCAAGCCTGAAGGGCCTGACAATGGGCCCCACCCCTCCACCCACCCGGTGTGCAGCTCTGGATCTCAGCTTTGCTTCTAGCACCTAGAGATCGCCCTTCCCTTCTCAGGAGCGCAGCTGTCCAGGGCCCATGCGCGGGCTATGCTGTGGCAAGGCAACGTGTGCTTGTGTTTGTAGGTCCAGTGCTTCGGCAGAGGGAGCCACGGGGATGGAACGAGATGCTTCTGGGTCGCCTTGGGGTTTGGTTTGGTTCTGCTTTTTCAAGGGCATATTTCAACACCATTTAAAAATTTCAAATTTGCAAACTGCTAAGATTGTTAGACTAGTAGGTGCAGGTGGTTTCCTCTGGGGAGAGGCCTGCAGCAGTGTGATCAGTGTAGCTTCTAGGGCTGGGGGGGCATCTCAAAGCAGATAAACCCGCCACAGAAAACAAAATGAGACAGGTGCGGGCTTGCAGGCCCCTCTCCTGCAGCTGCGCCACTGGCTGTGCCCAGCCACTTGCGGGTACTTTTCCGCCCTCCCAGGCTCACTCCTCTGCAGGAGTGGTCTCTGCCTAGAGGATGCTCTCCCCCACACGGTCCTGCCACAGGGCCCATACAGACACCTCCCTCCAGAGCCAGGCAGCGTGCCTGGGATGCCGGGTGGTGCTGATATTCCAGAAAATTCTGTTGGATGAACACGGAGTGCAGAGAGGGCTACAACAGCCACAGAACATGTTCAAAGGCAACGGCAGTCCCGTGTCCTGGGCGTGTGGGTCGCAGCTGGACTATTTCATCCAAGTGTTGTGTTTGAAGAGGAAAACTGGCTACGCAGAGAACGCTCAGAGGCTCTTCCAGACAACACATCACACCTGAGATCCTGAGCTACAAGGTGCTGCTTAGCTTGGAGAAGGCTGAAAAGGAACATTATCTATCTTTTGAATGTGTAACAAGCAGCTACATGAAGGAAGAGGTAACTGTGTCCCCAGCTGAACAAAAACAAACAGGTGGACATGACAGAGAAGAAAATGGAGAATAAATAAGCCAAGTGTCTTTATTAGAAGAAGGGTGACCCATGCCAGGCCCTTCTAGTGAGGCAGTGAGCTCCGTTCTGGGACACTTTTCAGGACTCCTAGAGAGTATCTGTGCTTTGGGTGAGGGGTGCAGCCAATGACCTCCAGGCTGGGGACCGTCTGGTTTCCAGCATGCAGCTGACTGGGAGAAGCCATGAGCTTCTAGCTGGAACCACTTCCAGGGTGGGAGGCAGATCCAGCCACTGGCACTGGACTTGGCGCATCTTCAGAAGATGGGTGGTGAGCTGGACCGGCAGCCTGTGCTCGGGTCTCGCACAAAGTCACGGAAGTATCCCAGCCACCAGAGGGACGGTAGGAGCCAGGAGGTGACAGACAAAATCCAGGCAGGCATCATTTCCTCCGGCTGCTGCGACAAACTAACACAAAGTGGCGTCAACAACAGAAGCTCAGGCTGGGCTCAGTGGCTCACGCCTGTAATCCCAGCACTCTGGGAGGCCAAGGTGGGGGGATCAAGGTGGCTTGATCTCCAGAGTTTGAGACCAGCCTGGGCAACATAATGAGACCCCGTGCCTACAGAAAATTTTAAAAAGAATAGTCAGGTGTGGTGGTGCAGAACTGTAGTCCCAACTACTCAGGAGATTGAGGCAGGAGGATTGCCTGAGCCCAGAGCTTTGAGGCTGCCATGAACTACAATTGCAATATTGTACTCCAGCCTGGAAGACAGTGAGACCCCACCTCTTACCAAAAAAAAATTGAAATCTATTTTCTCAAGATTCTGGAGGCTGAAAGTCTAAGATCAAGATTCCTCTGAACCTCTCTCCTTGGCTTGCAGATGGCATCTTCTCCGTGTCCTCAGAGGGTCTCCATGTGTCTGTGTCCTCATCTCCTCTTCTTATAAGGACACCAGTCAGATTGGATCGTGGCTCACCCCCAATGACCTCATTATACCTGAAATCCCTCTTTAACGACCTGATCTCCAGATCCAGTCGCACTCTGAGGTACTGGGCTGAGGTTAGGACTGCAACATATAAATGGGGTGTGGTGGGGAGGCACAATTCAGCCCCAACACAGCACTGGGAGAGCTGTGGCACAGACTCTCTGTGGGCTGGTTGTCAGCAACCAGAGCTCAGTCCCTGGGGGTGAAAGCAGGATGGGCAGGAGCCAAAGCAGCCTGTCAAGACAGAGGCTCAGACACTGGGCAGCCAGGAAGAATTAGTGCCTAAGCTGGGACACACTTGGGAAGAATAAAGCTTGGGTGCCCAGGGCCTCCACTAAGATGACTCCTGGAGCCCCAGGTGGGTCTGCCCCAGTGGGAGGAGACCTGGCAGCTTCAGAGGCGGGGGAGGAAGTAAACAGAGTCCAGAACACTTCTGTGATTCTGTAACCAGGATCTTGCCTTTCCTCGTAAGGTAATAAAGTCATCATCAGCTCATAGAAATGTCCTCCACCGTGCTTGCTGCCCAGCAGACAGGATGAGTGTTAGAGAAAAGGCCATTCTTACACAGGAGGGGAGCCAGTGAATGAACTTTCTCCTAAGAGACTCACCTCCAATGTGTCTGCCTGTGCATGCATGTGTGTGCATGTGCGCGTGTGCGTGTGTGAGTGCATGTGCATGTGTCTCAGCCAATCTCACTCTCAGATCCACAGGGATCTCAGTATCCTGGCTGCTTCACTTAAGAGCCAGAAGCTGGGTGCAATGGCTCACACCCGTTATCTCAGCATTTTGGAAAGCTGAGGAGGCCAGGAGTTCAAGACCAGCCTAGGCAACACAGCAAGACCCCATCTTTACAAAACTTTTTTTTTTAATTAGCTGGGCATGGTGGCATGTGCCTGTACTCCCAGCTACTCAGGAGGCTAAGGCAGGAGGATTCCTCGAACCTAGGTATTCAAGGCTGCAGTGAGCTATGATCACATCGTGGCACTCCAGTCTGGGCTAGAGAGCAAGTCTCTGCCTGTAAACAATACACATTTAAAAGGCGCCAGAAAGGAAGTAATCCTGAAACCAAATGGATATGACACTAGGTTACAGGTAGGAGGACCTAAGGGCTTTCTCCCTCCCTCCAATCCAAGGGCACCTACGCAGAGTAATCTCAGGTCCTAGAACACACTTCTATTGAGGGAATTTCCTTCGACCTGAACGAGGACAGGGAAGCTGCTGTCACCGCTGCCTTGCCAACATGTATTCAGATCACCTCACCATGAAGGCCACACCCACGCCTCTTACACTTGAAAGGCCAGGAGAGCTGAGGGTGGATGGTCCATATTTTGGGACTCTGCATTTGGGATCCCAGGCTCTGCTGGCCTCAGTGTCCCATCATCGCTATGCTGTTCACTGAGCCTTTTTGGCAGAAGGGATAGGAAGGGCCACTCCGAAATACCACAGCAGGTGTGCAGCTTACGGTCCACCTGCCAATGTCCATTTCGAGGCACTAGGACGCCCGCTGCCAGGCCCTGCAGGTGAAGGCATGGTGGCAGCTCGACTTGCTCCTACTTCCATTTCGTCCCAATGTCCCTCCTGAGAACATCTGCCTGGGACACACCCAACACTGGACAGAAGCGTCCAGGACAAGGCCCGCTCCAAGGATGTCTCCAGATCTTTAGCTATAAAATCAGAAGTGACGCATCTCTGAGTTCTGTGGGCAGCTTCTCCACAATCACACATGCCTGGATAAATACAAACCTGGTGTCATCTCGAAGCTTCCTATAAAAGGACCCCACAGCTCATGAGTGAATGAGATCCGGATGTGAAATCATCCTGGCTGAGGGAACGCAATCTAATATTCAATACTGTCCATAAGTGGCCAGGAAATAATAATTATACCATACAGAAATCATGGAAAACACTCTTCCAGAACAGCTATAATGAAAGTCAGTGACCTAAGGGAGGGGATACATCTCTCTCCTACAATCCACACAAGTTATCAAAAACACTGGCATTCATAAATAGTTCTTAAGGAAAATATGAATATTTTACACAAGGCAAAAATCTTAAAATGCGGCTTTCCCACATTCGGGAATGGTGCAGAAAAGAGAGCGCTTAGAACGTGCTGGAGCGTGATCGCCGCCTGAATGCTGGTGTTGGCAGGAATGCGATGCTTTAGTCCAACACCCTCGCCACAGAGGACCTGGGATCTCGGACCAGGAAGTGATCTATGGAAGAGGCCCATAGAACTTCTCACTTTTGAACCTTACATTTTACACAGCCAGACTTCCACCCTCCAGCAGGAATCCATATTTTTCAGATTATAGGAGGAGACCCACAAAACCAATTAGAAAGGGGATGTGTGACAGAGACCAGGGCAGTGGACACCAGGACCCGAGACAGCCGGTGACAGGAAAATGACAGCGGACAGAGGTGCAGCTAAGACAGGCTGCAGAAATGCGGCGACTGGTCAAAATAATAGGTTTCTCCTTTCCTTTTTCCTATTGTTCCAAATTGTCTACAGTGTCAAGTCATTTGAAAAATGGAAAAAATAAAAACAGCCTTACCAACTGGCAGCAGCCAGCCCCTCTCTGGTGCATGAGGTCAGGGAAGAAGCCGCTTGGGGAGCCTGAGTGGGGTGCGGGCTGTGCCTGCGCTCCCCCTAACATACTTTCCAGGTAAAATGTCACAGTGTCACATTCCCGGATCCTCGCCCATCCCATGCACTCGTGCTGCGGCGGCAGGAACAGGCCGGGCGAGAGCGGGGAAATGGGTCTGGGAACCCTGCTGGAAACGCCAGCCGTTCGCCACCTCTGGAATCGATCCCCCATTCCTGATCCCAGATCTAAGGCCAGCCCAGGCGCCAGGCGCCAGCCCTCGCCCTTTTGCTCAGCGTGGCGAGTCCCAGGCAGGGCCAGAGGACGCCGCTGCCCCCCCCTTCCCGGCCCCTACCCCAGCCTCGAGGCGGGGGCGCACTCACCGCCGGCCACCTGGCGCATCTTCCAGGTGCTGCTCCCCTCCCGGCCCTGGCTGCAGCTCCCGGGCAACTGCCGCGGAGCCCGGGGGTCAGGAAGGCAAGGGGCGGGTACCGGTCGGGTCGGGCAGGGGCGGGACTGCTGGGTGTGTGGCCAGTTGGACAAATGGCAGGTGTGGACCCGGCAGGTGCGCGGGGCAGGCGTGGGTGGGGCAGGTGCGCGGGGCAGGCGTCGGTGGGGCAGGTGCGCGGGGCTGAGCCCCGGAGCTCCGAGGTGGCGGGCGGAGTGGGGAGGCGTTCCCAGGGCTGATCTGACCCGAGATGCCCAGCAGGGTTGGCTCTGAAGGGAGGAAACGGCGCCACTTGATGCTTCGCTCCCTAGGCTCCAATTTAATGTCTCACAAGAGGAAGCATGACTCAAGCCTTTCCAACGACACAGCGGATGCCCAGCCCGGTCCGAGTTCGCAGTCCCCGTCCACTGTCTGAGGCCATCGGTCTTCTTGGCTTCCGCCAGAACTGTAGCTCCAGGCTCGCTGTTTCCCAGCCCAGCCCAGCCCAGCAGGCGCCCCACCTCTTGCTTTCGCTTTTGACTTCCAGGATGATGAATTCATTCTGGGAAAGTGAAGGGAGGGCCATGCCCAGTCCCTCTGGCCACAGCACAGGTCTGCAGGTCCTCCTTTACATGATGTGATGACCAGGTAACTTCAGAGGCCAGGCAGGTGTGTGGACAGCAGGATCCCCAAACAGGAATGGCTCCTTTCTCCCCCATCCGTGGCTACCTTCACTGCAAACACCCAGCCGCTTCTCATAGCACTTTCGACCCAGGATAGTCACAGTGGCCTCAGGCTACCAAGGACAAGTTAAAACTCTGAGGGCAGTTGTTCACTTTTACAGAAGAGAGCTCCAGGGAAGCAGGGTCTGCAAAAGACCCAGTCCCCACCCCAGGGTCCGGCTGGTTCTTGGTAGCTCCACTCTGCTCCTGCTGCTCCTCTCTCAAGAAGCTCAAGGTGCCCTGCCTTCCCAGGGATATCCATCTACCCTGTGGGTTACCCTGGCAGTCTTGGCCATGATTCTCCCTCCACCACAGTCTTTGCTCCTGGGAAGATCTAGGGACACATGTCCTGTGGACAGTGTGGCTTTATTCCTCCAGTTCGCCCCCACCTGCAGTCTCCTCAAACCAGAGGGACCAGAAGACAGGGGTCTCTCCACAGTAAGGAATCCTTCCTAATGACTCAAGAACCATGCCAGCGCTGGGCCTGGGTGCGGGCGGCCCATTTGAGCACTCAGAGGTACTCTGCAAAAATACTAAGAAGCCACTCTGCAGCTAGTTCTAACAATTCCTTTAAATGAATGAACTGACTGCCAACTTACTGCCATCTTTAGCGCACCTGATTTCAGAGGTGGGATTTTTACCTCGGAGTTCATTTTGATTTTTTAGAAATTGTGGTTAAAAAATGCATAACACAGAATTACATCTTCGCCACCTTGAAGCGTACAGTTCAACAGAGTCAAATGCCCTCACACTATTGATCTGCAAAACAGAAATCCTGTATCCACTGCGCAAGTCACCATTTATCCCTCCCCCGCCCCTGGAAACACCAGTCTACTTTTTCTACTAATCTCAGCACTCTAGATACTTTATATAAGCGGAATCATACAGTATTTGTCTTTTTGTGACTGGTTTATTTCACTTAGCATCATGTCCTCAAGGTGCATCCATGCTATTGCGTGTGTCAACATTTCTTGTCTTTTTAAGGCTGAATAAAACTCCGTTGTACCACATTTCATTTATCCATTCATCCATCCATGGACACTTGGGTTTCTTCTGCCTCTTACCTACTATGAATAATACTGCTATGAACACGGGGAAGCAAATCTCTCTCATGGATCCTGCTTTCAATTCTTTTAGATACATACTCAGAAGTGGAATTACTGGATCCTGTGGTAATGCTATTCTTAAGTTTTTGAGGAACCACTGCACTGTTCTCCATAGCTGCACAGTTCGACAATCCCACTCACAGTGTGCAGGGGTGCAGTCTCTACACGTCCTTGCCAATGCGTGTTGTTTTCTGTGTTTGCGTTTTTTCTTCATGGCAGCTTTCCTGATGGGTATGAAGTGATATCTCATTGTGGTTTTGGTTTGCACTGTCCGAATGGCTAGCAGTGCTGGGTATCTTTTCACATTCTTGTTTGCTATTTACATGTCATCTTTGGAGAAATGTCCACTTAAGTCCTTTGCCCAATGGACCATTGTGTGTCATATTTCCTTAAATTACTTAAATTACATGTGTCCTGAAATTACTAAATTCATATTATTAGTAAATTACTGACAATATGAAATTTTAGTCATTTCAGGACACGTGTAATTTACTGACAATATGAAATTTTAGTCATTTCAGGACACGTGTCAGTAATTTACTGACAATGTGAACTTTAAAACAAAACAGCCAGAACTACTGCTTTTAAAAAGATTGTCATTGTATATTTTCTCTCTAGATTGCCATTCGAGGTTGACATTGCCTCTTGAAATAGACATCGATTAAAAATTAACAAATGTTTACGGAGCACCTGCCCTGGTGTCTTAGTCTGCTTAGGCAACACTTAGTCTGTTTGCTGTAACAAACACCAACACTTGGGGACTTAAACAGCAGACATTTCTTTCTCACGGTTCTGGAGGCTGGAAAGGCCAAGGTACCGGCTGATTCACTTCCTGGTGTGTGTCTTTCCCTGGCTTGCAGACTTCTCACTGTCTTCTGACTGCGTCTTCACATGGGGGAGAAACAGAGAGGAAGTGATGGCTCTGGTGTTTCTTCTTAGAAGGGCTCGAATCCTATTTCGAGGGCCCACCCTCAAGACCTCATCTGAGCCTAATGACCTCCCAAAGGCGCTCTCTCCAGCCACCCCAAAGCCATCTAATTGGTAGGTTACGGTTTCAACATATGAATGTTTTTGTTTTGGTGGTGGTAGATACAATTCAGTACATGGAAGCTAGATCCTAGAGAACAAACTACATACCCTCTGTCCACAGTTTCCACATATGATTATAGCCATAAACCGTATAAAACTCAACATTCCATCCAGGAAAATGGAGGAACACATTTTGGTGTATTTATGTGGAATGCAACTCAGCAACCAAAAAAGAATGCCCCACTGACAAAGCTAACAACACGATGACTCTAAAAGCAGCACACACTGTGTGATGAGGTTCAAGGCGGCTCGAATTCACCTGCGGACACAGTCACAACAGCGGCTTCCCCTGAGCGCAGGGGCAGAGTGGTGTTGACTAAGGAGGAGCAAGGGAAACTTTCTGGAGCAACACAAGGTTCTTTGTCTTTATCTGGGTAAATATTCTAGAATCACATGTAACAAGTTATAGAGCTATATACATCTAAGATTTGTGTATTTTACTACCTATAAATTACACTTCAATAAAACATGTTATCTAAAAAAGAAAAAACAAATGTTTCAAGATGACAGAGCCAGTCAGGGGAGTGGACCCCTGCAGGCCATTGTCCCTTGAAGGTACATTCACAGCTCTGTCTAGTCAACATGGTCATGTGTGATTTCAGGGCTTGAGTGGCCTCGGGAAGTCTGCTTTCAGCTCTGATTTGCTGAGCACACTTCAGGCTGTCCTCACCTCCTTCAGCAGCGTTGGAAAGAACAATCTGCGGTCCCAGCAGGGGGGGTCTGCACTTCCCCACTACACTCTGTCCTGCCCTTCCTTGAAGGCCTCCCCTAAGCCTTGCTGCTTCTCTGCCCCATTTCCACTGGCCAACACAAGCCTCTGGTCATTCCAAACCCTCCAGCCACCCCTCAGCTCATGAGAGGCTGGCACAATGTGCCTCTGTGGCTTGGGAACATTGTGTCATTGCAATGTAGACATAGCACAGTTAGATGTAGACATCACACACACACATACACTCTCACACACATGGTGAGACCCAGAATGGCTTTTTCTGCTTCGTAACTTACATGTTCATGTCTTCATTTGCCTTTTCTCAGACTCACATACCGAACCGTGCGTGCTTTTCTTTTTAAATGTCAAGATACTGGCCTTAATGTTTTATTTCTTTTGTATCCTCTCATAGGGCTTTGCATTCAGTGATCATTCAATTTATACTACAGCCCAGCAGGTCTCAAGGTGCAGCTCAGGGACTCCTGGGATCCATGAGACCCTGGAGGGAGTTTGCAAGGTCAAAGTTTAATACAAAGACATTAGCTGCACTTTGTGTTCTCATCCTCTCAGATGCAATAGTGGAGCTTTCTGCTGTGCACTGGGAAGGTCTGTGTGACAGTGAACCAGCATTTTCCAAATGATGGCTGTATAAGAATCATTTACAGAATTATATACACATACACAATCATTAGAGGCAAAAGTCATTCCAAGTGCCAGATAGAGCAATGAATTTTAACATAACAGTGTAAACTATCACACATCAAATTTTGGTACAGTATCAAATCATAATATCCACGATGACATGGTTTGGCTGTGTCTCCACCCAAATGTCAACTCGTAGCTCCCATCATTCTTACCTGCTGTGGGAGGGACCTGGTGAAAGATGACTGAATCATGAGGACGGGTCTTTCCTGTGCTGTTCTCATGAGATCTGATGGTTTTTAAAACGGGAGTCTCTCTGCACAAGCTCTCTCTTTGCCTGCTGCCATGTACGTAACATGTGACCTGCTCCTCCTTGCCTTCTTCCATGATTGTGAGGCCTCCCCAGTCGTGTGGACTGTAAAGTCCAATGAATCTCTTTCTTTTGTAAATTGCCCAGTCTCGGGTATGTCTTCATCAGCAGTGTGAAAACGGACTAATACAATTATCTGAAAAAGGTATTAAGATACTCCTCACTGTTCCAACTACGTATCTGTGTGAAACTAGGTTTTCTCCACACGTACAATGAAAACAGTATATTGCAACAGATCGAATGCGGAAGGAGCTGTCTTCAGTTAAGGACATTAAAGAGACTTTCAAAAATGTAAAAAATGTCATTCTCACTAGATACCTTGTTTTGGAAGCTAAAACTATTCTTCATAAAAATATTTAACATGCAATGGTTGTATCGTTTTTATTTCTAAGTGAATTAATAAATTAAAAATTTTTCACTTTTAACTTTTTCTTTTTTAAGACAAAGTTGTAAACAGGTCTCATCCTGTTGCCCAGGCTGGAGCACAGTAGCATGATCGTAGCTCAATGCAGCCTCAACCTCCCTGGCTCAATGTGATCCTCCCACCTCAGCCTCCTGAGCAGCAGGAATCACAGGTGTGTGCCACCACATGCCCAACTAAATTTTGCATTTCTTTTTTTTGTAGAGACGGGGTTTCGTCATGTTGTCCCTCACTTTTAATTTGGAATGCAGTAAACATCAGTAGCCAGAACCTTCATAAACAAAAGCTCTTTGGGCTCCTCTGTCACTTTTAAGTGTATAAAGGGGTCCTGAGAGCAAAACATTTGAGAACCACTGCTTTAGACTGCCTGGCCAAAACACCAGCAGACACATTAGAAACTAAAGGGACAAATAACC